TATAATCATCTCACTGAAAAAAATTTATTAGACTCAAATAAATTTTTTTTTTTGTTACTCCTTTAATAAGATAAACAATTTATTTGAGTAATTATTTATTTGTTGTTTTGCAATAAAAATAAAATGAAAGTAAAACACAGTTTTGATTAGAAATTTTTGAGGTTATGTTTTAAAGTTGAGAAAATCAAAACCGGTTTGTTAACAGCACAAAATATTTGGATTTTTATATCTGATATAGATTTTATATATAGACAAATTAATAAAGCAATAAGGCCTTATTTAAATAAAATTTCCGTTTAGGCGAAATAATACATATTTTAAATATTTGCTAAAAATATATTTCACTATGTCATTATATAAAATATTAGTTTCAAAATTTTACATATAAAAAGCATTATTAATTTAAAAACTGAATTGAATACATAATTAAAACTCCTATTTATATTATGTATAAATTATATGACAAAATGTCATATTCAGTTGTGGATCTATAATATAACAATCTGGAAATTCCTGAATCTCATTTGATTAATAGCTTGAGAGGAAATTCCATTTGATTTGACCAATACAATATAAGTTACTCACGACAAGAAAATATATGCAAAAAAAAGTTTGCATGTGAATTTGTAAAACCATGCAACTAATGTTTTTCATGAATTTCATAAGAAAAGTGTTTTTAATGTTAGCTAATAAAGCGAATATTTTTCTACAATAAATCATAAACAACATATAACTTTAAATATGTAAAATTTAATGCATAAAGTACACAATAAAATTTTAAGGAATTTTATTATAAAAGTTTTATTGTTTTCAGTTTTGAAATATCATTTCTAATCACTTTTTTTTCATTTTATACATATATATATATATATACAATATATCTTCTGTAAAAATGATTTCATCAGTTCATAATTAATCAAAAAATACTTTTCTCTATATATTTATTAAAAAAATACATAGACTTGTATTGTAATGAATAATTATTAAATTTTATTAATAATGTATAATAAATTAACTTAAAAATAAGAAAAGATTTTTTTTAAATTGAATTAAATTAAAGGTTGTAAAAATATAAATTATATTACATCGAATTTTTATATATATATGCTAAAGACTTTTTTATCAGCCGAATTTGTAATTAACAAAATTACTTTTTAATTGAATTTTCAATTCAACAGAAATTTTATGAATCTAATCTAAAAATTCATTAACAAAAAAATTGGATAAAAATTATCTCTCTAAATCTGAATCCAGTAAAACGTTCGAAATATGTCATATTTTCTTATTTTCGACACCTGCTTCACCCTGCTTTTCTCTATTATTTTGGTTGTTCCCCGCTATGTATCGAAAAACTACCATTCCCTGCAAAGTGTTACAATTCAAATGTTCCATTGATTATTTTAATATTTGTCAATAAGATTTTGACATGATTCTTAACCTAAAAATTTTTTTTCATGAATCGTTCGAAAATCATCCTAAGTTAAAGTTTATTCTGTGTGTATATTAAATTTACTGTATGTTTATCCGTGTATGCAGAGTGCATATGAATTATTTTCCATTTAAACTTATTATATATTTAACTACATCTCAAGAATATATTAACTTTGAATCAAACAAAATTTATGTTTAAAAAATGAAACATATTTTATTAACAAAAACGTATTATTGAATTAAACTAAAATATATTAGAATAGGTTAAATAACAAAACGATAACATTCTGATAACAGTCTGACAATAAAAAAAATTATAAAATTTAATTTAAAAACAACAAACAAAAATACAAATTAGAACAAGAATATAAACTAAATTTTAAAAATGAAAATATAAAAGGAAATTAGCAAAATAAATAAAATTAATACAAGAATTATATAAAAATAGAATAATATACAATATAAAAACAATAATAACAATTATTATTTTTTATTTTTTGAAACTAAAAAATTATTTCCCCCATCTTTAAAATACATCGTATTTTTTTAAGTTTTTGCAAAGAAAAAAGAAATTCAATGGCGTTTACTATAAACTCAACAGAGTAAAAAATGACCGAGTAATTACAATTGTTTATAACTAAAAAGATACCCTTTTTTCTTTATCGATAATTTTGCAATTAAATAATGAAATTCGATTTTATTTTTTTTTATGTACATGATAGTATCACTTTTCAAGAGTAAAATGAAGAAAAAAAAATTGAATTCGTTCCATATCGTTCTGTAGAAATTATGTTGAAAAACAACATGTTTTTAATTAACAAATGGAATAATTTATAAACTATTCATCCGATTGGGTTGGAAGTTTTTTCATTTTGTTCAGTATCGCGAGGGGCACATTGTCAGAAAGTTTCACTCCAATCGGATTATTATTAACAAAGTTATTAAACAATTAAGAAAGTGACATTTTTAATGATTTAAATTCAATAACTTTTAAACAAATAATCCGATTTTAACTTTCGATCCACCATTTTGTAGGTTAGTTTCTATACCTTTTCTTTTTTAAAACAACTTTTTTCTCTAAAATGTAAAGGAAAGTAACGAGCACCAAAAAACCACGTTTCACCAACTTTGACCATTGTTTATGACAATTTCTGCAACCGGAAATCGAGAGCAAACTATGGGGCCTTCATACTACCCCACAAACTACCGAAATCCGTTTAGAACAGTCTGTTTACATTTAATGGCACTTTTTGTCTTTATTGACTACAACCTTTCGATTTTTAATTTTTTTTTGCATTACAATCTCTGATGACTGAAGAATTTTTTCCCCTATCTGCGAAAGTGGTACTTTTAATTTTTAAATTACTATTTACAATTTTTAAGCTGGACGCAATGATTTTTAGTATGTTTTTGGGTTAGTCCACTGACTAAAAAAATCTAGTTTTAATATATGTGGAACTCGATGATTCCGTGAGTTCATTAACCATAATATTATGGTAAAAATTTTATTCCCTTTAAAAATATTAAATATCAAAAGTAGGAGGTTCACAATGTGATTTTGTAACCTTAAATTTTTCAATTTTTATAAAAACGCTATTATTAAAAAACTATTAAAAATTAGATGTTGGAACTCACCAAAAACATAAATCACTTTATTCTGCACAGAGGAACGAAAGAATTATTGCAAAAATTTATTATTTTTGGATGATATACGATTTTAAAAAAAATTTTATTTAAATATTCTCAAGATTTTTATTTACTTATAACTTTTTTGTCGGTGCTCCGAAAAAATTGAGGTTTTGCACAAAGATTTTTTATAATATTCTTTACCTTCTATTAAAATCTTACGAAGGTGTTTTGCTTCGTTTTGGAGATATTAATTTTCAAAATTTTTTATTTAAAAAGGTTAATTAAAAGACTTAAAGTTAACTAACCAAATTCAAACTGCTCCATTTTTTATAAAAATATATTAAAATGGAGCAGTTTGAATTTGGCTAGTTATCTTTAAGTCTTTTAATTAACCTTTTTAAATAAAAAATTTTGAAAATTAATATCTCCAAAACGAAGCAAAACACCTTCGTAAGATTTTAATAGAAGGTAAAGAATATTATAAAAAATCTTTGTGCAAAACCTTAATTTTTTCGGAGCACCGACAAAAAAGTTATAAGTAATTAAAAATCTTGAGAATATTTAAATAAAATTTTTTTAAAAATCGTATATCATCCAAAAATAATAAATTTTTACAATAATTCTTTCGTTCTTCTGTGCAGAATAAAGTGATTTATGTTTTTGGTGAGTTCCAACATCTAATTTTTAATAGTTTGTTAATAATAGCGTTTTTAAAAAAATTGAAAAATTTAAGGTTACAAAATCACATTGTGAACCTCCTACTTTTGATATTTAATATTTTTAAAGGGAATAAAATTTTTACCATAATATGGTTAATGAACTCAGGAAATCATCGAGTTTCACATATATTAAAACTAGATTTTTTAAAAATTTGGTCGCAACCACTATTAGACGAAAGTCAGTGGACTAACCCTTTTTTGAAAATTAAAAAAAAAACAAATGAATGTTAATGGAAAAAGGTTATATTTGTAGAAAAAATGCTTATATTTTGTGAGCCGTACTAAGAAAATTATAAATAGTAATTTAAAAACTAAAAGATTGTAATGCAAAAAAAAAAATTAAAATTCGAAAGTGTCTCTTTTGAGAAAACTCACTTTTTAAGTTTAATTTCAACTTTTTTTTGCTTCTGTTATAGGTACGTTATTTTTGAGCACATATTTGAAAAATTTGAAAAAAAATATGAACAAATGTCATATATAGCATAATTTTTAATTTATTAGTACAATAGAATAAAAAATGTTCCAAAAACACACCTCCTTGACGTTAAATTTCAAAAAATCATAACTTTCTTCATTTTCATCAAATAAAAAAATATGTATTTTCTTATTTTTCATATAGATTTCGAAAAAAAATTTCGGACAAAAAAAAATTTTCAATGAAAATTTCCCATTAAATGCCCCATATATAAACTTTTAATTTGATTGTTTATTTCATATTCCTTTTTTAAAAAATTTAAATAAGCAGAAATTATGTTAAAATACAAATTTTACTAGAAATTTCGATTAAATAAACTGTTATAAATATGTGAAATTTTTTTGAAAATTTAACGAGAAAAAAATTATAGAAATTCTATTAAATAAAATTTCATTTTAATAAAAATTCGGTTTGATATTAATTTTATACTTGAAATAAAGTTTTTTTTAAATTCAAAGTAATGTAAATTAAAACTGAGTTTTAGGGATAATATTTATCAAAGAAAAATTGTGTGTGTGTTTTTTTTTTATTAATAAATTTTGAACTTAATTAACTTTAAATAGATATACACTTTTGTAATACGATACAAGCAACACACGCGTGTTGATTAAAAGTACAAGATCCACGTTCTTTGAAAGTTTAAGGGTGCTTTCAGGTGGGGGTGTAGAAGAAGGGGAACAGGTGAGCAAAGAGTTAAGGTGAAATGTTGGGTGGGGGGAAAAGAGTCGACCTGCTGCGAGTCCATTTGCGAATCAAGTGGTAGCGCTTAGTCTTACGGCAGGACTCAGTTAAAGAAGGTTCCGAGTGCCTTCTTTTATATCTATAGTCTCGTGTTTATTCGGTGTCATCTGTTTATAAATACTATTTCGAAAAAAAAAAAAAAAAAAGATTGGTCATGTGTTCTGTGTGACGGGAGTGAAATGTCGATAGTGATTTTTAATTTTTGGAATCTATCGATGAAGTTCACTGGTCGGGATCATACCTAGCAAAAGTTGGCAATTTTTTTATTCCAACTAGCTAGTTCACCAGAAATCACAAAGAAGAAACACCTGACGGCTCCAAAGGCACGAGCTGTCAGAACATCTTTTAATTTGTCCTTTTCTTTATTAGGTATAATATATTTATTATTTCATTATGGTATTATTTACTTTCAACATTAAGATTTCTTAAAATGAAATTTTTTCTTCACACATTTATGATAAATTTTAGATTCTTTTTTTTCTATATTTTTAATGATTACCAAATTTTTTTTTATAGTTAAATATTTTTTTCTAAATACTAAAATAATTTATTCTTTTTATAACTAAATTTAGGACAAGTTACCATATACTGTTCGTTTCAACTAAAAGAAATTTTACTAAAAAAAGTAAAATATTCACAAGACTTGTATTTCTCCATTAGCCTCAATTTCTTTTGATAAAGTATCTGGACCAAAGACACTTGACATTTACAAAAGTCTAAAAACCAAGAGAGACATAGTGAAACATTTCTTTTAAGACTAACAAAATAATTATAAATGTCCAAAAATTTAATCAATTTCGTTTGAGTAAAATTAACACGAACATTTGTCAATTGAACATAATAATATTGAATTTGATCAAAGTATAAGGACAATTTTTGTGCATAATCTCACGTCTTATGTGAAATATACTTTTTTTATTAATATACTTGAAAAAAAAAATTATAAAACTTAAATTTTCGAAACAAAATTTATATCAGGGCAAAAAAATTTAAATGTAAATAAGTAATTCATTTGAAATAAATTCACCTGTTTATTTTTTCAAAAGTTAAATTTGTGCTCTCTAAATCTGAATTAGTAAAAAAGTTTACTAATTTGAATTAGTGACTCACTTTTTGCTTCTGAATTAGTAAAATTTTACTCATTATTAGTAAATTTTACTAACAATTAGTAAAATTTTACTAATTCAGAAGCAAAAAGTGAGTCACTAATTCAAATTAGTAAACATTTTTACTAATTCAGATTTAGAGAGTGCAAATTTTTCCCTTTTGTAGATATATGTTAAAGTAATCTTAAATAATAACATGTTATCGTAACTGAAATTAATTTTCCAGCAGGACATTTTTTGTAATATTCATAATTAAAATTCAAAACAAAAAAAAACCACTTTTAATAAATATTAACATAATGTATTTATGATGAAAATGTATCACATTCGGTAAATAAATCTTAAGAAAAATAGTTATTTAACTACTTAGAATCATCTTTTATTAATTTTTTTTTCTCTTTGTTATAACGAACGGTGCTAAAATCTTTACATGATGTCTGAAACAAAAATAAATTTATTAATAAACTTGGTTTTAAAAAAAAAATAATAATTTTGACTTTTTTTTATTAATGTTTTCAAAAATTTGAAAGAAATGTTTCACTGAAATATAAAATGAATTTATATGTGAAAGGAGAATTTTTTATTTTGTAATGTGAAAAGGGTTTTTTTTTTCTTTTCGTTGAAGTTGACTTACGTCAGGACAATAAATTTGCAATGAGTAAGGCCAACATTTCGTGATGTGCTTGTAAATTAAAACAGAACACGTCCTCTCTATCTGCACATACTAAAAGTGTATCGTTTAAACTCCAGTGTCCAGTCCACTTAATATAATATATTTAATTATCTCGAAATAAATTCCAGATAAAAAATTGACTTCAAAACTAAGTGATTTTGATAAAAAAAAAATTTTAAACCAAAAATTTTTCTTTTATTGTTTATCTAAAGAACTAAAAAACTGATATATTGCCATATCAAATTGGTTTTGAATTGAGACGTTTCAGTCAAAATGTTTGCTCAAATAAACGAAAAATTTGTTTAACATTTTTTTAACTTCAAACTGTATTTTAAACTATCGTTTTCTGTATCCAAAAATAAATTTTTAATTTATTAAATGTTTAAATGTACTTTTTTATATTTTAAAAAATTTAGAGACAAAAAAAATTTGAACCTTAAGAAATTCAGGCACATTTTAAAAAATTCAAAATTTTAAATAAACTACATAAATAAATTGACAAAATAAAATTTTGAATAAAAATAAATAATTGAAAATTTAATATTTAAATAATTAATAAAATAATTTTTGAAATTTAACCAGCTCGGCTGATAATTATTACTTCGGAATTTTTAGGGGATAAATATTCCAAGTTTTGAAAACTCAAAAAAATGACTTTATATAATCGGAAAAGAATTTTAAAAGTCAAGTTTAAAATATTAATTCGGATGTTTTTTGAATTACTGAAATTTATTTTTTTTGTATAAGCATTTTCAGACAAATTCCTCCAACTTTAAAATTTTAATGAAGCTGAAGTACGCAACGTTTATATAAAAGATTTTTAAAGAAATAATTTTTTAAAATGAAAAATTCTATAATTTTTTGCTTAAAAAATTTTTCTTGTAGTTTTCATTAATCAACAAATTATAAAAAAATATTTTTTAGGCAAAAAATTATAGAATTTTTCATTTTAAAAAATTATTTCTTTAAAAATCGTTTATATAAACGTTGCGTACTTCAGCTTCGTAAATTTTATTCTTGGTGGTAATTTTGAATTTTCAGTTTTAGATTCAGTAACTCCAAAAATTTCAAAAATTTTTTTTAGTGATATTTTAGATGCTGCTATAGCGGTTAAATGACGTTCTTTTTTTTTTTTATTTCGCTTCTTTATAGAGGTCAGTCACAGTGAAGGAGTCAATTGAAGATTTTAATTAAGAAATTTTTAGCAACTGTACGCTGTAAAGTAAAAAATCAAAGTTTGACACCTTTTTTGTAATTGAAAAAAAAATTTTTTTTTTCTCAAATTTGCAAGTCAAAAACTATATAATAATAATAACATTTTGCTGGTGTGAATCCTGTTACATGGCCTACCTTGAAGCCACGTGGCATCGATTCGGTCAGTGACGTTCCTAAAATTACGGTTGGTTGATCTAGCCATTCTTTAACTCAATATTTAAATCAATACACTGAGAAACGAGTTAATATATCGTCAACTATACTCACTTTCACTCAAAGGCGTTGAGAGACCTATCAATATAAGAACTTTGGACTTAAGTCGAAAGTTTAAAACTACAAAATAATGAATTTTATTTTATTTTTTGTTTTTTTTTTTATAAATTTTAAACATAACATCAATTTAGAACTAAATTAAGAAATATTAAATGATTAATTTTTAGTTAGTATGAAATATATTCAGAAAAAAAAAATTCTTTGAAACAACCAAAATAAATGTATTTTATTGCATAGAATTTATTTTAGACGAATTTTCATTTGTGGTTGCAATGGGCCAACGCAGAATAAAAACCTCTAATCGTAAATCTTAAGCTTTTACATGAGAGAGAAAAGGACATAAGATATTTCTATCCTTTTCTCTCTCATGTAAAAGCTTAAGATTTACGATTAGAGATTTCATTCTGCTTAGACCTAATGAAAATAAAATTTCGTTTTTTTAAGGGTTAGTTTAGAATGAGCAAGTAAATTTCCACTGGAATTTTAGTAGAACGTCCGAAATATGACATATCTTTATATTTTTTTACATCTGTCGCACCCTGCTTTTCTCTATTCTAGTTCCCCGCCATGTATCGAAAAAAAGCTACCATTCCCTGCAAAGTGTCACAATTCGGATACTCCACTGATTATTTTATATTTATTGTCAATAAGATTGATAAGATTTTGACATGATTCTGTGTGTATTAAAAATAAAAATTCATCTAAATAAAAATTCTATGCAATGAAATTCTAACTAATAAAAATTCATTAAAATGGCTATTATGTTAAATGAAAATTTGAGTAAATAAAACTTCTGACAAATGAAAATTCAAAGAAATAAAAAATTCTGTAAAATGAATTTTCGGTTATATAAAAATTCTGTAGTAGAAAATCGTGGAAATTCTATTAAAAAAATAATTCGAACAAATATAAATTCTATTAATTTTCCGCATTATTTATGTGTCTCGTTTATTTAGTTCAAATAATTAATTATTTGACAAATTTTCTTTGAAATAAACAAAACAAAAATTATATTAATACAAAAAAAAATGGTATATTTGGTTCAAATAAAACTTTTTTGTAAAAAAAATCAGAAAAGATCATTTTTAAAAAAAGTCACTTATATTTCCGTCTATTAAAATTTTTCCAATATTTAACTATTTTCTTAATACAATGCAAACTGTAAGTTATGAAAAAAAAAAAATTTCCATATTCTTGAACACAGAATAAAATATAAATTTAGAAATTTCACTATAATATTGTCAATGATGAAAAGGGAAATATAAAAAATTTTTGTATAAGCATTTCTTTTTAACTTTCATATCTTTAAAAGATAAACATTTATAGAAATTGAAATTTCATTCCTAAAGAAATATGGTTTGAAAAGCCGTGTGAACTATTGCATACATATTATATACGAAAGTAAACGTTTACTTCAAATTAAACTGAGATTCCTAAGTTATCCTTGAGAAAAGGTGTATGACCAGACTGAAATTCTTGAAAGATATATAATTTCGATTATAGAAAAAAAACTATGTTTTTCCTGGAATAAATTAAGTGTAAATTTCATAATATTACCAATATTTCGAGTGCAAATGTATATGCACTTTAAATGAAAGAAAATCATTAAAAATCAATTATTGAAAAAAAAAATGAAAATTTTCTTTGGACTGATTTGTTTTTTTGTTAATACACTGTAGATTCATTTGCTATAATGGCTTTCATACGTCGGTAAGACGTGGAGCGAAACTATTTTGTGAAGAAATCAGTTTGAGATAGTTGTGCATATGACGTGAAAGATCATGAGAAACATATACTTTCTATAGACGCAGCAGAAAGAAAATGCAAGTTGAATTTGACTTGCATCGCGCAAAACTATCGTCCTCTCCTCACAATATATACTATATTGTGACGGTTGCTGACCATCGCAATCGCATCGCGTTCAACAACCGACCTTCTCAATTACAGTCAATCACCTTGCACATTTGGTGACTTGACAATTTTAATAGTTTTAGCTTCTCTAGTTTCGAATAGAAATTCTGAATAATAATTTTATGCGGCATTTTACAAAAGAAGAAACAAACAAAACAAGTCATTCAACCGCTTATTATAGGGAAACGTAT